CAGAATTCATAACATAATATAAACAAAATGTACTTTTCTAAAGCTTTATCTTTTTTAATACCGAAATTTTTTGTTCCATGTTTGACATTTGCGGCTATAATCAGCTTGTACTTTCGGTAAACTCAACCGCACAAACTATTGACACAACCTCAAAATTCCATAAAAGGTCAAAAATAGTTTTTTGACCATAACTCGCTTAATTTTTTACCAAAATAGATGTTGTTTTTATTAAATTATAGGCTTTTTTGTGCTCTACAAAACTATTTGAACTAAAATGAGAGTTGGCGGGAAATTCAAATTGATTTGAGCGTTTCAACATTGTAAACACCTATAAAAAAATAAATAAATACATGGATCGCTCGAAAAAAATATGTGTTATGTACAATCACCAAAACTACGTTCCAGAATTTGTTCAGAACGTTTAAAGTATTAGTAAAGTAAAAGGCCACTTGCATCAGTTAACAACACTAAAACAGTAGGCTTTGAAAAAATGAGTTTTCATATTATTACTCAATTCAATTACTGATCAATTTCATATTATTATGAAGTTTGAAGTCAACTGAATATTATTCAAACTTCGGCGGCAAAATGAAAGAGAATATCATAAGTGAAATATTTCATAACATAATTTTCTTTTTTATGTCACCCTGTATACGAATATTCGTCAATGATTTCTCTTAAACTTAAATTGAAAAATCCACAAGGAAACTAAGTTTCTGTAGCTGGTTGTATACCATGTATCACAAAAAATTTATTTAAAAATCCTTTATAAAAGATATATCTTCTTCTTCATGTACCATGTCCTTTCAGAACGTTGGTTACCATCATAGCTATCTTAATTTTATTCACTGCCACCCTAAATAGCATGCTTGTATCAACAAAAGATATATTCCGTCCTAACATGTCATTATTGTCATTTCAATCAGTTGCTATCAACAAGTCTTCGTAGACACTTTGTGTCAGGACCAAGCAACCTCATGTAGAGTCGGACGTTGCATGTTACCAATTCCACTGATAACTTTAACATCTCAACTTAAAAGAAAATATAATGTAACAGAAATTTAAATTAACAACATTTAACGGGTTTTTACCCAAATATTTGGTGGCTCAAAACATAGACTTAGACACACTGATGATGGAATATTGATTCCGAAACTGTTCTGTGATGTATCCCGATTGGGTGTTTTAATTCTGTACCTTTTATAAAAGATTTAAAAATTTTTTTTAATCGAAAACTAGAACATATTGTTTACTTTATTAGGGAACATCCATAAACTACGTCGTAAACAATTTGGACATTTTAATACCCTCCCTCCCCTTCTTTGTAAAGCGCTGTTTATTTTTATTGATTTTAGGGACCTCTTCTATTTTGGTATCATAAAATTAATTTAAAACAATAAAACACTCGTCACAAAAAATATCGCCTAATTTTTAAACCAGGAAAAAGTTATATAAATGTCAATTTTTAGGAAAACATTTTAATGTACGTGTATAATCTCTTTTATATGTGTAAAAAAGACCATAGATTCTTAAAGATAAAAGTATTTTTTGTCAAATGAAAAAAGAACAAGTAGCGGAAGTTGTAGCTTTAATTGGAGTTTAATAGTGGTAGAATTATATTGCTACTGTTATGCGAACTAACTGAGGAAGCATTTCTAGAGCTTAAAGAAGGTTTAGATAAACTGTTAACTGATAAGAAGACCAGTTACAGGTTGTTTCAGGTGCACCAACCGTGCAGATAGCCGTTATTACGTCTGCACACTTCGCGTGCTTGTCATGTTACAGCCTGGCAACTGCACAATGTTCTCTCCAGGGTCCATAATGTTGGAATATGTCTTCATTTTGTTAAACGAATTTAGAATCAGGCCAGAATGCCTTGGTAAATACCAGGTTCCCAAGAGAACATTCTATATAATATAATTAGCCAAGAACATCCATCTTTGGGCATAGGCCTCCCCCTCATTTTTCCATAGTTGTCTATATTGCGCCATTTGCAATTATCTCGGTCAGGCATGTTGTTTTATGCCATCTGCCATCGAAAATTCTTCGACAGAACAGCAAGGTTAAGAGTACCAACCCACTAATTTATGGGGGGTATATTTGAAAAAGTTAACATGAGTTTGAATGATAACCCTCCCGTAAGAGACCAATGATTTTCTTAGTTCTTTTTCACTAGTTAATATTATATAAAATATTATATGCTTATTAGACCACGTGTTCTGTTGCTTTGCTAATTTTTACTAAGTCTCTAAATGTTGTTAGTTATTTAATTGTTTATACAATATCACCATATGATGTCCATTTATTTGAGTTTTTGTACTATCTTTTTAATACCATTGACAACTACATATCTTTTTAAAGGTAACTATTTAACATCTTCTTCATGAATGTGTGGTACTCATAATGTAAAATTTTTAGATGAACTGATGATGCTATCAGAATTCGATAGCGAAACGTCTTCAAAATAGATGAAGTAGTATCAACTTTGTCTTTTATTTCTCCACCTAATAGACCGATATTTGAACCCACCACTCGTCTGAGTGATCCTTATTATATATTGGATAGACGGTCGTACTCCTTTTTGCGATATATATATATATATATATATATATATATATATATAATATATATATAATATATATATATATATATATATATATATATATATATATATATATCGCAAAAAGGAGTACGACCGTCTATCCAATTTTAGATTGATATTTTAAATTGTTAAATTTGAAACAAGACTTGAATCATTATCAAGGAATTCAATAGCATCCGTTAAGTTCCCTACATATTCGACAATATCAAAGTTAGGATATGCATCTTTAAAAACAATTTCAGCCTCTTTAATAAAGTTTTCAAGATTTTGTGCAGTTAAGTTAATTTCGCTCTCTTTAATTTTTTTTCAAGTTTCAAATAATGACGTATCTTATATTGACCCACACCACTTTGACTTATGTAGTGCATTTTCAAATTGATTAAGTTTATCTATCTCTATAAAAGATTCAATAAAAGCAAGATTTTTTCTTTATTCGGAGTTTTTAGACTTTTTTGACTTTGCTGTTCATGTAAATAAGTGTGATCTTCATTGTTGGAAAAAATCATTAATAACTTTGAGATTCCACGGAAAAATACCGCATTTTTTAAATTCGTCTTCTAGAATTTTTGGAGTTATGCGATCTTTTACTGCCGTATTTAATAGTGGAGCGAAATCCTGTCTTCTTAATAACTCGTGTTGATTTTTTAACCTCCAAGAACTTTATTGCTCCTTCCAACCAGATTTAACGTGACACAAGGCTACGTCCATAGGCTGTAGTAAATAGGTAGCGTTAGGATACAAAGCAATCAGAACTATATTTTTTTCTGAGCAGAATTTACTGAGATGAAAGGATAAATGGGAAGCATCATCGACAAAAAATATAATAGAAAATGAAACATGTTGTATTGACCATTAAAACACATTGGAGATGTAAGAATAAAAATATCTGATGTCATCCACCCGTTTTCGGACACACCAATTCCCCAATGCTTCGGAATGCTTTCAGGAAGATTTGAAGGTATTCTTTTGTACCGAAAAATTATCATTGGTGGGGCTTAACTTCCTGTGGTATTTCCATTGAGTAGCACAGTGATGCACTTCTTTTCATTGCTAATTACTGTTGAGTAAACAGTCTTACTACCATTCAGAGCCAACACTTTATTGCCCTTTGGGTTTAAAAAAATGCCGACTCGTCAGCATTAAATATACAAGTTGGATGTTGCAATACGTTTGTTAAGTCGTTTGTTTGTAATAGAAGATCTACCCATTGTTAAGTTTTGGGGAGTCCTAAGGCTTATTTCAGTATGTCTCATACTGTAAAAAACTTTCATACCATTTTCTTCCTGGTACATCATTCTTAAATGATTTGTTGAGTTCTTTCCCTAATTTCGAGGCACTCAATAAAAAATTTTTTGGAAATCGGAAAACCACAGTTATGTTACTTATCCAATTAACCATGAAAAAATTCTCTTAATGTTAACGAAGAATGGAAATATGATTTTTGTTTCCTATGGGTCATAGAAAGTTCTGTTTTTTTTTTTTGAAAGTGTCATTTTGTACCAGCTTTTAATTGAGCCTATTTTCATAACACTACAAGCGTGTGGCATAAAATATGTCTTATAAATGTTTATAGACTACAAGGTGAGAACGTTTTCTGTTTTTTAATAAAAAATTTAATAAAATGTTAAATTTTTTGTTAATATACCTTAGAAATGAAACCTCAAAGAATTGATTGTCACTAGAGTGGCCGTTTGGGCAAGTGCGGTTGATTATATAATCGCTCTTCGAGATAAACAAATTGCTTAACTTTAGAATTTTCAAATAGCTGTATCAGATTTTTACGATGATTTTTTCACAGATAGACTGAACTAAAAGCATGCCCACGCGTTGCAGAACAACAACAAAACACATACAAAGGGTAGAAAGGCTTATAATATCACTCAAGACAACTTTTTGATGAACTGGGATGTTCAGTAAGGATGGAATGCAAAACTTTAGGTCTCGGGTACATAAGGACTCTGATAAGATTAAAACTCATTTTTTATTACTTTTGCTTACGATTTTATGATTTTCATTTTTGTTCAAATAAACCTTTGGTTCCTTCCAAAGTTTAATTAACAGACCTTTCTAAACATTTGTGAGAGATAATAAAAAAACTATGCAATACTTTTTGTGACAAGTATACTTTTAATTATTCAATATTGTAAATGTGGTTTATGATTTTCTTTACTCATAATATTTTGTGCACAAATACTAAAAACATATTTTTCAATATATTATTACAATGTTGTTTTTGAAAGTTATTAAATTTCAAACTTTTGTTTGAATATTAAAAACGTCCAGTATCCGAAAAGGGCTACAATTAACCTACCCACCCACATAAATGTTTTCTCTTTCTCTTCCTCTTTGTTCAAGTTTAAGCCCCAGTACATTGCAATTAACACAATTTCTTTTTCAGATGGGCAATAAAGATAAAAGTGAGAGCCTAGTAAGAGCAATCGACAATATGGGTAGAAAGACTAAGGATTTAAGAAGACAACTCAGAAAAGCTGTTGTAGATCATGTATCTGACAGGTAAATAGTTCATAATGTTATAATATATTATATTTATTCTAATCTTCTTTTTAAAAATCTCAAGATATTGTTGCAATTATCAGCTCTCGAGAAACATTTTCACTAAAGGAAAAGAATAAACTCCCGTTGGAAAGATTTTCATTTTCAATATTATATCTCTGGTTGTCTTTCTATAATGTCCTAGGTTTTGAGATAGTCTCTGTATGAAAGTATCAAAAATGATATGAATGAAGTGACCTGTTATTAGTCAATCAATAATTTTTTCGAATTAGACATTTTTTGTAAGGATAATCCAAATTTTTATTAACTTGTAATTACTAAAAAGTAATTTAGTAATGCAACGCCAAAGATTTATGTAAAGTAGTAGAAATTAAACAATATTTAGTAGTAGATGACAACATTAAAAACTCTTTAAATACTCATTAGAAAGTCGATAAAAACTTTTTAAAATTGTTTTGTAAATTGTATGAATTGACCTCATGAATAGTTGTCGATGGTTTTCAAGGAATAATGGTCAATCATTGTAAACGGATTAAATTAAAAGCTACCACTGAAAATTTCACTTCTATAATGATTTTCCGAAAAAATTATGGAACAATAGGCAAATCAAGGATTGGCTAATCGAAAAGAAATTTTCTTTGAAGAAGATTACCTAAAAGTGAATTATTGGATACCGGAAATTTCACTTCTATAATGATTTTCCGAAAAAATTATGGAACAAAAGGCAAAGAGTGCAACTTAAATAGTAGAGTGTACCTCGATTTGTTAAAGAATCATGTTTTTCCTGCTATTCTCAATCTTCCTGATGTAAATCTGAAGAATGTTCGGTTTCATCAAGACGGTTGTTCAGTTCACAACTCTCGAATAATTAGGGAGTACTTAAAAATACTTTCCCGAATCGAGTTATCAGTGGAACAGGCGGTATTAAGTAGCCTGCGCAATCTCCAGATCTTACACCTATGGACTTCTTTTTTTGGGACATTTAAAAAGCATCGGCTACGATCATCCTGAGGCTAGAACCAAAAATTTGGATGAATTAAAAAACCGAATAAAAAAAGTCTCCAATTATGTGACAGCAGAAACTCTTTCATCTGCCCGCAGAAGTTTTTATGACAGATTGGGATACTGTTCAGCCGTAGAAGGTCAAATATTTGAATCATTTCTGTAGGACATAAAGAACTATTTCTTATTTTATTAGGAATTACTTTTTAATTTTTAATAAGAGTATATTTTTTGTTTTATCTTTTTAAAGAAATGTGCTTTTATTTTTAATTCAACCATAAAAAATAAAAAGTTTACTTTTTTTAATAGTTTGGTAATTAATCAGATTTTCTTATTAATTTAGTTTCTTGGAAACCAATGTACCTCTTCTCGTTTTAATAAAGGCAGCTCAAAATGGCAACGAAAAGGAGGTAGAAGAATATGCAGTTGTATTTACTGAACATTCCAATAAGTTAGTAGAAGTTGCTAACCTTGTCTGCAGCATGTCTAATAATGAAGATGGCGTCAAAATGGTTAGGTATGCTGCTGCTCAGATTGACAATCTGTGTCCTGAAGTAATAAATGCAGCTAGAATTTTAGCTGCTAGGCCTCGCAGTAAAGTTGCTCAAGAAAATATGGACGCATTCAAGCAGTCATGGGAGAATCAAGTTAGACTTCTGACTGAAGCAGTCGATGACATTACTACTATCGATGACTTTTTGGCTGTTTCTGAAAACCATATTCTGGAAGATGTTAATAAATGTGTACTTGCGTTGCAAGAAGGTAAGTTATGCTTATTAATATGTTAAAATAAACTTTGTACTTTATGTGAGCATTTTAAATAAATTATGTTGAAGTTTCATATTGGTCCTGGAGGGTGATAGGTGGGTGGAGGGTGGAAGAATAAAATTATACTAATTAAATATTCAGCTATATGTACCTCTAGGGAAAAACAGTCACACTATGTTCTAAGGGATTATTAGGTATCCCGAATTTGAAGTGAAATATCTTTCAGTAATTTTTTGCTCATTGTGCATTCTGGTATTATGTAAGGCATTGTAATTGACTTGTTCTTTGAGTTAATTTTTACCTAATTCTCAGTCAATAGTGATGAAGTCCACCATGAAAAATTGTTGTACGAACTACAGAAAATGGAGCTAGACGGAAAATATCTCCGTATAATTCAAAACCTTTATTGGAACAAAGAAGCAACAAGAAGACTTAGAAAATATATTAGACAGAGTTAATGTAGTTAATAATGCAAGTAAAGCAATGGGACTGACAATAAATCTTCAAAATACTAAAGTATTGGTGATAAGAAAAACTGATGAAAATTGTCGCATTGGCCTAATAACACACAATTAAACAAGTTTACAAATTCAGAAGTGGGCTCCAGATACAGAAATAAAAACACGAATAGAACAACAGGCTAGGAACATATACAATATATGGAAGCAAATTATCTATAGCCGAAAACTAAGCTTCGAGATTCGAATTAGAGTTATGAAATGCTACGTTTGGTCAGTCCTTCTGTATTGAGTTAAAGTCTGGCCATTAAATATTTAAATACCATAAGACAGCTAGAAGCTTTTAAAATGGGGCTTTATCGCAGAATGCTCAGAATAACGATTAAGAAAAGAAAGACCTCGTACCTAGGTCACATAATGAGAAATGAAACATACAGTGCATCTATAAAGTAACGCATAAATTCATTATTAGCTAAATGAACAAAATAGAGATTAGCAGATTATAATCTAATATACAGAATGAACCACATTCGTATGATGACGTCATCACCATTTTTTTAAAGGAACCCCCTTTTTTCAATTTATATTATTTTCTTTGTTGAGCTGATTCCAAAAATGTATAAAACGTTGCTTCAAATTGGTACAAGGTGGCAAAAATTCCAAGTTATGTACAAAATAATAAAATAAGGATAAACGTAATAAACGCATTAAAGGTTGCACACATTGCATAATAGTAAAGTGGTTGTATAACCACTTTACCACTTATGCAATTACTGTGATACATTAGCAAAAGTAAACAAACGAAAATTTACAGTAAATGTTCAAATTGTTCTCCATTGATCGTGAGACAATGACTGAACCGGTCATTACCTTCGTCTGTAACATTCTGTAATATAGCGGCTATTATGTTTTTTATTTCTTGTCTATTTCGGTCTTATAGTTGACGGATATTATTGTGTAGACTTTATTTAAATAACCCCATAAAAAGAAATCTAATGGGTTCAAATTAGGTGAACTAGGGGGCCATTCCACTGGTCCCCTTCTTCCTATCCACCTAACCACAAGTTCTGTTTAAACATTCGCGCACAGTTACTGCGAAATGTGGCGGTGCACCATCTTGTTAAAACATGATTCTGCGGTCTAAATTAGTGGGTATTTGAATATCAGGAAAAAGCTGGATCAGATCAGGAATTAATGGATTTTGTAGGCAATTCAGATATAATGCTGTTAAATTTTCATAAAAAAATATGGACCAATAATTGTATTTCTCACAATACCAGCCCTCGTTATGTTTTCGTTTAATGCTGAGTATTACTTGATTGTCTATTCGAGCGTTAAAACCCCCAATATTATCATCTTTATGTATTATCATAGTATTATCATACTCCGATGATGTTCACAGTTTCCTTTTCCATTCTTATCTTTGCTGTTACTATTCTTTCTGGATAGGTTTCAGTATTCAATTTTAAAATGTAGAGGTGAGTTGGCTCATGATTTTTTTTTAAATTTAGACGCTAGATAAAACGTTACATATGGTGTCAAAGCAAGGACCTTGAAAATATCCAATAATAACCGCTTAGATGCTTTTAAAATGCGGTTATTTTGTCGAAAATATAGTGTATATAAGTTAAAATATTTAATTAAAATTATTTTAGAATTATTGTTTGGGCTTTTCTATGCAACTGGCTGAACTGTCACGACATAGAAACGTCATTAATGACGTACAATGAACGGTAAAGGAAACATATTTTTTAACCTCTACTCCGCTATAACATTTAGTTCATATGAGTAATAATTAGGTCTTTTTGTCTGGAATTTCACATCACTAACATCGAGGATGTTTGTTTCTTTTCGTTTTTTATTCTTTTTATTTCTCTAATTATGTTGCGGATTTTACCGTTATGTTATATACATATACATGTTATAATTAAATGATATTTCAGGTGATTCCGACACATTGGATCGCACTGCCAGTGGTATAAGAGGAAGATCCAATAGGGTATGCAATGTAGTAACAGCTGAAATGGATAATTATGAACCTTGCATTTATACAAAACGTGTTCTGGAAGCTGTCAAAGTATTAAATGACCAAGTCATGCCCAAGTTTACTCAAAGAGTGCAAGTTGCAGTCCAAGCTTTGGGAAATAGTCCTCCCAAAGAAGTGGATGAAAACGATTTTATCGATGCTTCTAGACTTGTTTACGATGGAGTAAGGGAAATAAGAAGAGCCGTTTTAATGAATAGAGTAAGTTAATTAGATTTATTTATTTTATTTAAGCGACAGCGTAACATTACATCACAGTATATAAATATATTACAATTACAGGATAGCACAACATTATTTTAAGTTAATAAAGTTGTTTTGCTCTTTGTTCTCCTAGATAAGATCTCAAAGGCTCGGCTCATTATACTAAATCCATTTTGCAAAGTTGGTTAGCTTCCTAGAAGCCCACGTTTCTTTTATTTGTAGGCATTTTCACAAATGGCACTGTCTCACTACTTTGCTTGTCCATATTTTTGAGGTCTTATGGTACTGGTCAGTAAAGAGACAGTGATGGTGTAATTTTATCTGTTTTGCTGCCAGATTTTATTTCCGTTATTGATAATTAATTGATTCTAATTTAATCTTCTAATTGCAGGCCGATGAAGATTTAGATCCAGAAGATGTTGAATTGGATGAAAACTATCTGATAGAAACAAGAAGCAAATGTAAGTGAAGTATTTATTTATAATAATTATATCATTGATCATTACACATTTTTCATGTCCATTTAATGTTACTTCTAAATAAAATTCGAGTAATAGGAATGTAGGAAAACAAAATCAACCATGCTCGAAATTAAAGAAAACACTATTTGGAAATTTTTTATACAAAACTGCAAATTCCCTAAGCAAATTTTATAAATGTTGGAAATGTTTGTTAATAAAATGAAGGGCAATAGTAAATTAAATATATATCTTTAAAAAGCCCACACATTTTTCTCTTGGTTTTTTCAGTTATGGACAATTTTATGCAAACAGGGAACTGTTGTCGCCCTCCAGGGGAATGTTTTATGCACAAAAACAATTATTTTTGTTAAGTTTAATTTAAATATTTGATATGTACTGTCAAATATACAGAAAAAAATTAATTTTATGACGCTGAAGTCAGACATAATATAATATAAAAAACAGAAAACCATTACTTCTGCTAATTTATTATCATAACCGATATTTTAGGTTTACATAATTCTTTAAAAAATTAATACTTTTGAATGAAGTAACTAAAGTATTATTAATGTTATTAATACATAAAAATGCCCGCACCAAAACAACATTTGACACACTTAATAATTTGAGGACAGCATTTGCACATAGTTTGATTAAAATTTTATTTTAAAAATATAATTTCGATGTCTGAAGATACTTACCAGTTTTTTTATGTAAATATTTTGATATTTTTTATTCAGATATTAACGACAAAAAAAATACTTTAACAAAATTTGTAATGCTAGAAAAGTGGACGTACCAGGAGACGGTGTTTTAAGGTGTTTGAGGTTCATTTATTTAAATATTTCATTATTAAATTACTAAATATGCCTTGACATGCCAAGAAAACCTAATACTATATCGTTTTTTATAGAAAAAACGTAAAAATATTAACCTTTATTACATAAAATTAGCTTGGGAAGGGATTTTATATAGGGAATATTTTATGGGAAGGATAGCTATAAAAATAGAGAAATTAGAAACTTATATCAAGGGGTGAAAAATGAGAAAAAAGGGTACCAAGGAAAACCTGCACACTACAAAAACAAAAGTAGAAGAAATTTAGTAAATGACGAAGAAATATTGAGCAGATGGAAATAATACTTTGAAGAACTTTTAAATGAAATTCCAACAACAGAATATGAAGAGGAAGAAGAAGTGAAGGAAAATGTCGATCAAGAACGAATAGAGGAAAGACCGCCTAACGAAAAAGAAATAAAAGAAATAATAGAGAAACTAAAGAATAATAAGAGCCCAGGAAGAGATGAAGTAACAGCTGAAATGTTTAAATATGGAGGACCAGTACTATTAAGCATTTGGAAAAGTTGCTAAAAGACATATGGGAACAATAAAAATTACCGAAGGAATGGACCGAAGCGACACTGTGCCCTCTTCACAAAAAAGGCGACAAAAGTTTATGCCACAATTACAGGGGAATAGCCCTACTAAATGTTGCATATAAAATACTTGCAATATATATAAAAGATAAGCTATCTCAAAATATAGATAATGACATAGGGGAATATCAATGTGGATTCAGAAGAGGGCGCAGCACAGTGGATCAAATTTTCCTACTGCGCGAAATACAAGCAGAAAGCTACGAATATGGGAAACCTACAATGGCCCTATTCATCGACTTTAAACAAACGTTCGATAGGATAAAACGCAAAGAAATATACAAAGCTTTACGTGAAATGAGAATTAGTGAAAAACTGATAAGAATGGTAAAAGTGACACTACGAAGAACAGAGAATAGGGTTAAAATAAATGGCGAAGAAACAGATAAGTTTGAGGTCAGTGAGGGGATGCGACAAGGAGACCCACTGTCATCGCTGTTGTTCAGTATCGTCCTCGAAGTTATCATCAGAGAAGCTGGAATCAACAGGTCAGGACTTATATATCAAAGAAAACACCAATGCTTAGCATTCGCTGACGACATTGTACTGATAGCCAGAAGTACGCAAGAATTAAAAGAAATAACAAAAAGATTAGAAATGAAAGCGAGAAAGAAAGGGATGTACATAAATGAAGAAAAGACCAAATATATGGAATGGACAGAAAGAGATTACCTACAAGAACAAAATCTGACAGTAATAACAGATGAAAAAACATATAAATTCGAAGAAGTAGAAATATTCCAGTATTTAGGAGCGACATTCACGAGAACAAATATGAAGGAAGAAATCCAAGCGAGAATTATGGCCGGTAACCGTTGTATTTTTGCCCTAAACAATTTATTAAGAAGCAAAAACATATCTAGAAGGGCTAAGATAAGAATATATAAGACAGTAATAAGACCTATTGTATTATATGCCAGTGAAACATGGACAATGAACAAATCCGAGCAAGTCCTGCTGCAAGTCTGGGAAAGAAAAGTCCCCAGGAAAATATTTGGAGGTAAAATATGGAATGGTGTATGGATAAAAAGACCAAATATGGAATTAGAGATGTATGGAGAACCGAATATCGTAGGGATCATAAAGTCACAAAGACTGAGATGGTTGGGACACATCCAAAGGATGGGAAACACGAGACTGCCAAAAAGAATGCTAATGGGAGGAATAGGAGGGAAAAGGAAGAAAGCAGACCAAAAACCAGGTGGAAGAAGGATGTTGAAAAAGACATAGAAAAACTTAAAATACCAAACTGGAAAAATAAAGCAACAAACAGAAAAGAATGGAAAAGAATAGTAAACCAAGCCATGGGCCTTCTAGGCCTGAAGAGCTAAATTATATATATATATTATAACTAAAGTATTATTAATACAAAAAAATGTCCCGCACCAAAACAACATTTGACACACTTAATTTAAGGACAGCATTTGCACATAGATAGTTTGATTAAAATTTTATTTTAAAAATATAATGGCGATGTCTGAAGATACTTACCAGTTTTTTTATGTACATATTTTGATATTTTTTATTCAGATATTAACGACAAAAAAAAAATAAATACTTTAACAAAATTTGTAATGCTAGAAAAGGGGACGTACCAGGAGATGGAGTTTTAAGGTGTTTGAGGTTCATTTATTTAAATATTTCATTATTAAATTACTAAATATGCCTTGACATGCCAAGAAAACCTAATACTATATCGTTTTTTATAGAAAAAACGTAAAAAGATTAACATTTATTACATAAAATTGCAAATGAAAAGCAAAAAAGCTCCCGGCGAGGATCGTATAACGTCTGAAATGTTAAAAATGGGCGGCAACATCGTTGTAGAAGTTGTGGAAGTCTTACTGAATAAGTGTCTAACAGAAAAAAGAATACCCAGCCTATCGGAAAACGCCGAAATAATACTTTTACACAAGAAAGGAGACACTACTAATATTGAAAACTACAAAACTATAAGTTTGTTGTCACACTTATACAAATTGTTAACAAGAAAAATAACCAACCGCATAACACAAAAACTTGATTTATATCAACCGGTTGAACAGGCGGGATTTAGAAAAGGGTTTGGCGCTAATGATCACTTACAAACCATCAGAACACTAGTAGAAAAAACCACAGAATATAATGTACCTTTACATATGGCATTTATCGACTTTCACAAGGCTTTCGATAGTATTGAGACTTGGTCCTTTTTGTCAGCCCTGAAGGATGCTCGAATAGACTCACGGTACACTACACTCATTAAAAACATTTATGAACAGGCCACATTCCACATCAAAATCAATGAAGACGAAAAAACTGAAAAAATGCGCCTTGATAAAGGTATTAGACAAGGTGATACTATTTCACCAAAGCTTTTTACCTTAGCATTGGAAAATGTATTCAAACGGCTTGACTGGGAGGAAAAAGGTCTAAACATTGATGGTGTACGTTTGAGTCATTTGAGGTTTGCGGATGACATAGTATTATTTAGTACAGATATCAAGGAACTGGAGCAAATGTTGAAGGAATTAAACCAGCAGTCAAATAAAATAGGTCTCAAAATGAACCTTCAGAAAACAAAAATAATGAGTAATTTACAAACTAATCTTGTTATTGACAATGTCAGTCTTGAAAATGTAGACCACTATATATATCTTGGACATACCATTAAAATCGGCAAAGAAAATCAAATAGCCGAAATAAAAAGATGCATACAACTGTCTTGGGGAGCTTTCGGCAAATTAAGCTTTATTTTGAAGAATAAAGATATACCAATGTGTCTAAAACGTAGAGTTTATGACAAATGTATCTTGTCTGTAACTACATATGGACTGGAGACCATGGCCTTCACAAAGAAAACCTTAGAGCAGCCCAGTACAACCCAAAGAGCAATGGAGAGGGCCATACTAGGGATTAGTTTGAGAGACAGGATTAGAAATAACGTCATTCGTGAAAGAACAAAAATTACTGATGTCTCAGAACGTATTGCAAGGCTCAAGTGGCAATGGGTCGGACACGTTGCCCGAGATAATCCCGAAAAATGGACACAAAGATTAACAAACTGGAGACCAAGAGAGAACAGGCGAGGAGTAGGCAGACCGCAGAAGAGGTGGACAGACGATATCAAACAAGTCGCGGGCAAGCAGTGGATGAGAATTGCCAAAAGTAGAAATCGATGGAAGCAAATGGAAGAGGCCTATGTCCAGCAGTGGACGAACACAGGCTGAAGAAGAAGAAGAAGAAGAAGAAGACATAAAATTGGCTTGGGAAGGGTTTATCCATTCAGTAGAGAATTGCTCATTAACTTAGGAATGGCCAACATTTTGTATCAATATATTTTCATCAATATTTTTTTACAGAAAATTTTAGATGTAAAATTAAATACCCACGCATAGTTTTTAGTAAATACAAATCCCTTAAACAAAAACTAGAACAGTTTTTAAAATACCATTTATTTATTTTCAGCGAGTGCTCACACAGGCGAACATGGAGTTGATGAGTATCCAGATATTAGTGGAATTACAACCGCTAGGGTAAGTTACTGCCAATATTTACTTACTTATATTTATTTATTACAGAAAATACAAGCTATTTTATTTATTTATTGTAGGAAGCTATGGGTAAAATGCCGGAAGAAGATAAACAAAAGATTTTGCAACAGGTCGAGTTCTTCAGGAGTGAAAAACTCAAGTTTGATCGTGAAGTTGCTAAATGGGACGACACTGGCAACGACATTATCGTTCTTGCCAAGCACATGTGTATGATTATGATGGAAATGACAGATTTTACCAGGTACAATATTCATAAGATTAATATATTCTTTACAGTACATTTTATCCAATTCTACAAGACAGATTTATATATGAACTTTAAAAATGAAAGGCAAATATCGAGCACAATTAAATCTTGCTCAAGTATTTTCGCTTAAAACAGCATCTTCAGGGGCATCTGAAATAAGCCAAAAAAAAACGTTTTTTTTTTAAATGAAGGAAATTAATTAACTTCGATAGAAACTCGAAGTTAATGGATGATAAAAGTTTTTTTGTGATTAACGTTTTAGACTTACTTCGTCAAGTTTGGGCTATCCAGCAAGTTAATTAATTTCCTTCATTTAAAAAAACGTTTTTTTTTTGGCTTATTTCAGATGCCCCTGAAGATGCTGTTTTAAGCGAAAGTACTTGGGCAAGATTTAATTGTTAAAATTGTGCTCAATATTTGTCTTTCATTTTCAAAGTTCTGCGCATTGCACTCTAATATAAACCGCGATTGACTTTTATTCAAACTCATATTTGAAGGAACAAGTACACTTACCTTTTACGAACATTGCAATTGTCGCCAAACGCATAAGTAAGTAGAATTATAATATGCATTCAAATTAATGGGTACAATTATACCCAAAATGACCAAAAACGTTAAAAAAATATTGATAAAAACATTAAAAACTAATTTTTTAATGTCTATAATAATAACATCTATGATATTTGCTACTCTTAATTTAAACAATTATTTTTCTTTTAGGGGTCGTGGCCCTCTAAAAACCACCATGGACGTTATTAATGCGGCTAAAAAGATTTCCGAAGCTGGAACCAAATTAGATAAACTTACTCGTCAAATAGCCGAACAGTGCCCAGAGAGTTCCACCAAAAAAGATTTGTTGGCTTATTTGCAACGTATTGCTCTCTACTGCCACCAGATGAACATTACATCGAAGGTCAAAGCGGATGTTCAAAACATCAGTGGAGAACTTATTGTGTCTGGGGTAAGTATATTCGTAATAAATATACTACTTGGAAAACACGGACTTACGCAATTGAAAACATGACCGACCATAGCATTAAGGTCTGTTAATTCAACTGGTTTGGATAAATATAAATATTGTATGCATTAGTTAAATTATATAGTTCTTTTCACGGTGCACTATTAATCTGTGCATTTAGTCTGAGGATTGGTCTGATATCCTGATTGCTTTTTGAGGTTATGATGTCTGCTTCCAGTAATAACAATTGTGGTGAATATTCACTCGACTTGGAACGTGATGAGAAACAAACCATTGCTTGTGATAGCTGTAGAACAAAATTTCACTTGGTAGAAAGATGTTGTGGATTGTCAACCTCTGAGACAAGAACTGTTGTGTTGCAGAAACGTTTACTAATTTTTTTTGTACTACATGTAGGGACGCATTTAAAAGTGTTCCAATATGTGTATGGAGAAGTATTAAGTTCGAAGAAGAAATAAATATACTAAACTAAAACAATTTTTAATTGAAGGTGATTACTTGGCAACATCGTACTTAACGAAGGCCTTAACGATAACTTTTCAACGAAATCGTATTGAAACTATCAATTTTGCAGAGGCGTACTAAAAAAAAATTTAATTATTTATTTAAACACATAAGTACTTACGTAAAAATTAAATCTAAGACCGATTTAATTATTAAATTATCATGTCTCTTTTAACAGGTATCTTATAGATGTCTAACAAAATAAAATAAAATTTTATTCTTATTAGAGAGTATCTAATACAGAACTTCAAAAAAGAGGAAACTTTGGAAAATAATTTTTTTCTTCATTAGACTAAAAACAATCTGCAATTTTAATTACACATCATTCTCTATTTATAGAATTGCTGTGTGCTGTAAACGTTATATTTGTTTTTTTTTTAACTTAATTTGAAAGTTTGCTTGTGTTTATTTGTTTATATAAATATGAAAATACATTATGAAGTTCATATAAATTAAAATGAAGTAAGCTAAACTATTATCATATGAATGCGTTTATATAGCAGTGCATTTGTTTATTTCAGTAAATTCTCAAAATATAAAATGAAGATGGCACTAACTACTAAAGAGTTAATAGCTTTGTTAGAAGAAGACTCAGATTGTGAAAATGCCACTTAATGTGGTTTATTTGCCGCCGAGATTAGATTAGAAAGTTTCTGATGTAGAAGACATTGATCTTCTTCTTCTTCTTCCTTCTAGTTTGTAGGCTTTAAAGCCTGTTTCTTCTTTAATATTAGCTTCCTAAATTGTTTAAATTGTCGCACCATCTTTATCTTGGTCTGCCAATACTTCTTCGTCCATTTGGTGACTTATCTCGTGCTATTCGTACTATTCTATCCTCCCCCATTCTACTGATGTGTTTGTTCCACTTTTGTTTTCGTTTTGTCACCCATCCATTTATGTCTTCTATATTGCATGCTCTTCTTATGTTTTTGCTTCTCTCCCTATCCAACAGACTTCTCCTTGATATTCGTCGGAGTATTTTCATCTCTGTTGTTTCTAGCAGTCGTCTCGTTTTAGATGTGTCGGGTCTTGTCTCAGCCGTGTATGTTAATATAGATCTAATTCCTGCTTTATAGACTCTTGTTTTTGTGTCTTGTCTTAGGTGTTTGTTCTTCCAGATTGTGTCATTAAGAGAACCCGCCGCTTTACTTGCTTTTAAGCTTTGCTGTCGTACTTCTTCAACATCTCCGTAACTAGTTATATCTATTCCCAGATATCTAACCCTTGCTTCCGGCTTTATTATTTTCCCATCAATTTCGATTTTACACTGTAGTGGGTATTTAAATGCCATACATTTGTATTTTTCCGCTGATATTATCATATTTATTGTATTTCTTAGCTGTTGTATTGGAGATATGTGTTAATCTTTAGAGCTCGTCTTCTGTTTCGGCGATTAATGCGGCGTCGTCTGCATAACATAATATTTGGATTTCTTTGTTCCCAATTCTGTAGCCATGACTTTTACGTATTGCTTGTATTATTTCGTCCATTAATATATTAAAGAGAAGTGGGCTTAACGAGTCACCCTGTCTGACTCCGCTTTGTACTGGTATACACTGTGTTAGTTTTCCATTTATCTTTGCCTGTATTCGATTATGGAGGTAGATGCTTTCAATGGTTTGTATAATATTGATTGGTATGTTCCTTTTATACAGTAAGTGTAAGATGTCTTCGACTTGGATGCGATCGAAAGCCTGCGATCGAAAGCCTTTGTCAAGTCTATGAAACATAGATATGATGGCCTTTTCTGTGATTTGTCTTAGTACAAATGCGGCGTCTACGCAGGATCATCCGGATCTGAATCCTTGTTGTTCATCTGATAAAGTTGTTAGTTTATTGATTTTGTTGGTTAGGACTTTTGTGGTAAGCTTAAGTGCGGTATTCAGTTGATTTATACCTCTATAATTGTTGGGGTCTTCTTTATCTCCTTTCTTGGCCATTGGTATCATTATGCTGTTTCTCCATGCGTCTCTTAGTTCAGGTACGTTATTGTGTTGATTATTATTTTCCTTTGCTTTAAACAGTTCCGTCAGGTATCTTTCCCATTCGTTTGCTGGTATATTATTGTATTCCTTGAAGAGATTGATGATAATATTATTTGTGAAGAATCAATAAAATCGGATATTGCAGGTACATATGAAATACAAGTGATTGGGAATTCTAACTATTCTGATTATAATATTCCTCTGAACCACAGATAAAACGTCCAAAAAAAAAACAGGCAAAAATAGTAAATCCAAATTTATCTCAAGTTGTAATAACGGATATTCTTTCGTGCTCAGTAGTAATTCAACTTCAGTCTGATTGATATTTAGACAATATAAAAGCCAACCATGTAGGCAAGTGATATATTGAAGTTTTTTCACTCTTTTTGATAAAAAAGTAATTGAGAATAACCGTCACAATTTTGAAATGAATAACATAGATTTATATGTATATTATCTGGTTTACACTCTGCTCCAAGTTGATATGCATTGGTCAAAGGATGAGGATAAAGAAGTGCATATTATAAGAGAAAGCATCTAGCATCTGGTAAAGCAATCTAAATTTGCTTTACCAGATGAAACCAGATTCGACAACATTGGCCACATTATAAAAAGAGACGATAGTGCAAACATGTAGGATGTACAAAAGTAATACTATTTATTTATGTAAAAAAAAGTAGAATGCATCTACACCCCAAATATTTCGAAAAATTTTACCTTAAAATTTAATTTACGTTTAAGATACAACAATATGTTCCTTTATTAAAAATTGTACTGTTTTCCTTAAAAATGAGAAAAAAAATCTTTTTGGTTGTAATTTATTCCTAATTTGTGTTTTTAATCCAATCTAATAAATTAATTGTCAAATTTCTCTTTGTATATTGAGCGGCCTTTAAGGGTTTAATACTATATAAAGAATAAACTGGCCTCAAATTAACTTTACTTACCTCAAAACTATTTTAAAGTTAATAATAAAGGATATCTAATAAATATATTCCCAATAATACACTACGCCTTTGTACATATGTGTAAAATCTGGAAGATATCATATTTCATAAACTTCAATAAACTAAGATATCATATTTCTCTAATTAACATTCTTTCTAAAAACGTAAATATATATAGACCAGCAAAATATTGATAATTTTACCGATGTTCCAAACTATTCTATGAACTTGTCTCACTATACACTCGTGAATCGCACCAATTTATATTGTTACGGGGTCAATGTAGTGTTATCTTAGATGGGTTACAAATTTACATATTTACATGGGCGAAGCATACACAATAAAAATGACCCCGGTAAGAATTTACTAATCAAATTTTTCATGGTTGCCGCTACCGTTTAGTTCAATTTGTAGATTAGTCACCTTTAATTGAAAATTGTCCGACTATAAAGAATAACATTGTGCCTCTAGAAGGCAATAACACTATAAATACATCCAGTGCTGTTTATTATGAAGTACAGCAACATATAGAAAGATCTCATATTCTTATGATTTCCAATATTCCTTAAAACAACTCGACCAATCTCAATGGCCGTATTGATTATGATAGGAATAAAGCAAGTGAGATTTTGAATAGACTTGTTTTGCAGCAGAATGATGCTACTATTATATACTAAGTCGAGTTATACGAGTAGACCTATTCTGACCCTAAGGTCAGCCAAAGTCTTAAATCTGGAGGTAAACTTCGTGGAGCTACATTCAAGATCTCCAAGAACCAGCCAAACATGAAACAAGGTGCTTAGAAGGCTGCTAAAAAGGAATTAATGGAAAGTACATCTGCTGGGGAGGTTAACTTGGTTATTCGTTATCTCTAAAAAAACGAGTCTCTACCCCCAATAACTGTATACTACCAAAATGTAGGAGGTCTATGTACCTAATTTTCTAACAATTTTATCTGTAACAAAGAAAAAACAGGTTTTTGTAAAATATCCCACTCTTGCATTAACATAGGTAGTGTGGTTTGAGCTAATATTCACAATGTCTCATTTTTTATAGGGACTGGTATAAAGTAACCAAAATGTTATTTAGCAGATATGTGTAATTAGTACAACGTAAAATAAAAACTTCATTTCTAACACAAACTACTTAAAATTAATATGATTAAATTTACTTCGAATTCTCAAAAAAATGGTGATGTCGTTCTGGGATTGCTCTGGATCTGAATAATTCCAACAAATAATTATTTTTTATTTTCAGGGATTAAAGGATGGGCCGACTAGGATGGCTGTAAGTTTAAATTCTCGCAATTAGTTCTGCGACCAAGCATTTTGTATTTTACATCGATGTGTTTGTCAAAGTTTTGGTCAGAAAAGCTTGTTTTGTAAAAAATGTTGTAGGGGTTGTCTGCAGTTATTTTAATAGCTTTAATATTGTTCCACGCACATTTTGATCCTGTATTATCAACATTAAAGTTTTTGCCGATACTTTCTGACAGCAGTTTCCAGTCCAAGAAGTCTCTAGTTTCAGTAACATTGTATGGTGAACATGTTTTCTTGGCTAACTTTATTACAGACACCAACTCCGTGGGAACATACATGGAACCTTGTTTTAGCAGTCTTTCAATGCAGGCATGCATCGAGTCCCCCTTCATTTTGTGTACACCCTATAATTAAGTACTTATGTGTAATGCTTTTCACCTGCAATGTACACAATGCAAAAATATTCTGAGCAGTCTTTTCGTCTTTTCCTACGCAATGCAATGTTTTAAATATTTATATAAACATGTAGAAATTTCTATGGCCCCTCTCTTGAACACAACACCAACGTTTCAAAAGAAGCAATGGCCCTGATGTGTTAATGCATCAAAAATGGTAAAGTTGTATGCATTCAAAGTTTGATTTATAAAAAAAGGCAGATGTATTTCCACAAGGAAGCTCTAACACCCTCTCTCTAACTCAAAAATAGCTACAATTTTATTGACTTCTATAGTTTTGTCTCGGTTTTTTTCCTGCCTAGCCAAAGCACTATCTGATTTATGACGTTCATATTCTTCTTTTTTCAATGAACGTTGCTATTCGTCCATACTTTCATACCGTGTACAAAAATTACATAAATATTTTTTGGCTTGAAGAAACTTAAATTAAACTGTGTATTAAAAACTCTACTGTACCGGGTGGTCCAATAAGCCGATCTCTCGGCTATATATCAGAAACTATTCATGTTATAACTTTAGGAAGAAAAATTCCTTAGTAAAAGTGGCCAAGAGAAATCGCTGGAAATAACTTTCAAGATTCTGGGTTAACCGCTAGGGGCGTAACCTGCGAAAAAAATTTTGAAAACCAGTTTTTTGGGAAATATGTCCAATTATACCAAGTGTTAAATAAGTAAACTAGAAAGGGGCATAAATTCTGCACAAAATTGTTCAAGTACTTTTTTTTATTTTTTCAAATAAAGGGTGGGGGAGAGTGGGAAAGTAATTGTGGATAAATACCTATAACTTTGGTTTGGTCCAACCGATTTTAATGAAATTAGTGTCATTAGAAAGAGTGTGGATGAATTAATTCACATCTACTATAAAATACTTGCATTTAGTTTTCATAGTCGTAGGTAGAGGGGACTTTCAAATAAAAAAAATTAAAATTTGTTTTTCTTCAAAATTTTTAATGGAAACACCTATTTATTATAAATTATAATGGAACTGGAATAAATTCGTAACAAAATGGAGCAAACCGCATGTTAATAGCTTTTGTTGAACTCGAGATATGAATAAAAACTCATAAACATAAGTAAGTATAGTATTGACACACCCTGTATTATAAATTACATTAAGAAATAAGTCAGAAGGTATTTTCAAATTTTTTATAGCAGAAGAATCTTAATGTTGATACCTATTTTGTAAAAAATAGTTTTTTTGAAACTAAGTAGGCTACGACAATGAATTTGATTGTTCATACTGTTTATTTATTGACAGCAGTCAAAACATTGTTAAGAAGTGCTATATTATAATTCAAATTAAAGATTGCACTTTTTTCAATAGATATTAATGTTGGTAATATTAGTAATTAATTATCAGTATTAATAATTCGTGATGAGTATATCAAATACAGAATACATTTTGATGATATTCGAAACAAACTCCAATCATATCATACAATTTGATATACTCATCACGAATTATTAGTACTGATAAATTAATTACTAATATTACCAATATTAATATCTATTGAAAAAAATGCAATTTTTAATTCGAATTATAATACATATAACACTTCTTAACAATATTTTGACTGCTGTCAATAAATAAACAATATGAACTCCCTGTCAAATTCATTGTCGTAGCCTACTTAGTTTCGAAAAAACAATTTATAATCATATGAAATAACAATGGTCAAAATAGGTATCAACATTAAGAGTTTTCTGCTATAAAAAATTTTGAAAGTACCTACTGACTTATTTTTTAATTTATTTTATAATACAGGGTGTGTCAATACTATACTTACTTATGTTTATGCGTTTTTTATTCATATCTCGAGTTCGATAAAAGCTATTAACATGCGGTTTGCGCCATTTTGTTATGAATTTAATCCAGTTCCATTATAATTTACAATAAATAGGTGTTTCCATTAAAAATTTTGAAGAAAAACAAATTTTAATTTTTTCTATTCGAAAGTACCCTCTACCTACGACAATTAAAACTAAATGCAATTATTTTATAGTAGATGTAAATTAATTCATCCATACTCTTTCTAATGACACTAATTTTGTTAAAATCGGTTGATCCAAACCAAAGTTATAGGTATTTATCCACAAATACTTTCCCACTCTCCCCACCCTTTATTTGAAAAAATAAAAAAAAGTACTTGAACAACTTTGTGCAGAATTTATGCCTCTTTCTAGTTTACTTATTTAACACTTGGTATAATTGGACATATTTCCCAAAAAACTGGTTTTCAAAATTTTCTTCGCAGGTTACGCCCCCTAGCGGTTAATCCAGAATCTTGAAAGTTATTTCCAGCGATTTCTCTTGGCCACTTTTACTAAGGATTTTTTTCTCCTAAAGTTATAACATGAATAGTTTCTGATATATAGCCGAGTGATCGGCTTATTGGACCACCCGGTACATTATTGATAGGTTCAAAGAACTAAATATTCCCTTTTACTGTCTGCACTACAATAGTGAGAGGGCGTGTGAGGAAAACTATTAATATGATTTTTAATCAAAAGTATTGTTTCATCGCTTGTTTTGCTTACACTCGATTAGCACCTCGATTTCCCCTTCTAAGAAACCATCTTGCAACTTATTGATAACTGTCGATATCGTATTGTTTGATATATTCAAGGTGGCAGTAAATAAGTGTTTGCAAACTCTCACCTTTTGTCTATCAACTTCAAAATAATATCTAAAGTTTTCCTTTCTCTTCGCATTGCTGGACGTTTTTCTTTATGTCTCTGCTACATAATCTAAGTCTGAATCACCATTATTACAGTTTATTAATGTATGAGAAGTTGCAGGAATACCTTCATCAGCGTGTGGTACATAATCTGAGTTTTAGACTCAAAATCAGACTCAAATCAAAAGGGCTCAAAATCTCCATCATGAGCTGGACTGTTATCTGTAAGAAAATGACTATACTTTATCAATTCAATATGTCATAACTACCAGCAATAAAGAACACAGAATGGAATTTATCTGGATGAAAGTAATAATAAAAACCTCATTAGCATCTAAAATTCTGAAATTCAATATTTCTTCCACCTCATCAGCAAGCCTGTATTGTTCTAAGTTTAGTGAAGCGTTTGTATAAGTACACGGCCAACATTTGAATGAAAACAAAAGCTTTGTGTTAAAATGGGGAAATGCTTACTTGCTATACTCTCAGTTTAGTCCACTTGTTTAGTTGCAAGAATACACATCAATTGATCACGTGAAATCATTTTTAAAGCACTTTCACTGTATTTGATACATTAATAAAGTTTTTGATTAAAACAACAGGTGTGCAATAAATTGTGTTTGTGATTAATAAATTATATTGTTCTGAAGCTATTTTCTTGTGGCATTCTAAATTAATTACTTAACTGGGAGTAAGCCACAATTAAAGATAAAAATACGTTTATTGACGTTTTAATTTCCTTTTCGGAAATCGTTCTCAAAATACAAATAGTAAATTTACAGTAAATTTTGAGAACGATTTCCGAAGTGGAAATTGAAACGTCAATAAACGTATTTTTATCTTTAATTGTGGCTTATTCCCAGTTAAATAGTAATTAATAAATTATAATATAAAAAAACCTAACCTCACAAAACTTTACAGTCAAACAGAATGACTCAGTGTTTCCAATATTTTTCTCACTAATAAACAAGCAACAGTGGGTTATTCAGTTTGTCTCAGTGTTGCTTTGACTAAATTAGTTAACTGCTTCTAGTATAACACTGGTTTATTTCCCATAGCCGTTAAGTTGGGTTTTAATATATGTTATCTAAGTATTGTTATGATAAATTGGACTCTTTTGGGTGCTTTGCTGTAATAATGTTAAAAATGGAATTTTGTCAAAATATCCCACTGTTGCTTTCGGAAATCGTTATGTCTAATGATGAGTATGGTGTATTGATTTATTAAACTTTGATCAAATAAAAGGCAAATATTGATCACAATTTAATTCATTTAATCTTGACCAAGTACTTTCGATCCCTAGATCATCTTCAGGGGCATTTCGTCAATTGCGGCCTATCCGACAAGAATAAAATGTTACAAACATAAAATGGTACATCACGCTACACTACACAAGGACAAACAAACACTTTAAAATTCTTAACAAATAGACGAAGCTACATTGGAGACAGAATCTGTCTCCGGTCTCTCTTCCTACAGACAGTTTGTTCCTCAGGTGTTCCGCAGGGAGGACACACATCACCTATTTTCTTCCAACATATTTGTTAATGATATTGGGAGCTGTTTTTTAAGCTGCCAGTGTTTAATGGCAAAGGTGCGGATTGATCAAGACCAATATACGGATGAATTTGAAATCCGGAAAGGTGTCCGCCAAGGCTGCATACTCTCTTCGATGCTTTTTAATTTATATGTTGAAAATATATTTGCGGAAGCATTAGAAGATACGGAATTAGGCATTAAGGTGAACGGCATACCAATTAGCAACCTACGCTATGCGGACGACACAGTGATTATAACTGATAATTTGGAAGATCAGCAGTTATTACTTGATAGGGTGAATAGCATAGGTAAAAAATATGTAGCATATGTAGTCCTTAATAGACCCGGCGTGGAAAGAGAACTCTTTGAATTAATTAAAAAACGCAAGATTGGTTACCTTGGGCACATATTGAGAGGAGCAAAATATAAAATACCACAGTTAATCCTACAAGGGAAGATCGAAGGTAGGAGAGGAGCCGGCCGCAAACAATTATCCTGGTTAAGGAATATTAAAGAATGGACAGGAATACACAATACAGGTGAGCTGTGTCACGCCGCCAAAAACAGAATTCTAGTAATGAGATAGTCGCCTACGCACTTTGGTGTATGGCATGTTAAGAAGAAGAAGTGTTTAATGCTTGCGCTGGTGACTTGAAGATCTGGAAGGTTGTAAAAGATTTTAGAGATCAGTTGTCTTTACAAGCTGGTCTTGATCGTTTATACAATTGGAGTAGTAGAAATGATCTTCATTTAAATGTTAATAAGTGTTATCATCAGTTTTACCCGAAAGGTGAATATTGGTATACCTTATTTCATTAATGAGCAACCTCTTAAGAGTGTCTCTTCCATTAAAGACTTAGGAGTTACTTTAGATGAAAGGCTTTCCTTGCTGGAACATATAAACTTTATATCCATTAAGGCTTTTAAATTACTTGGTTTTGTCACCAGAAATTGTAAGAATTTTTCTATAAATACAACTAGATTAGTTTATTGTTGCCTTGTAAGATCCATCTTGGACTATTTTTGTGTAATTTGGTCACCCTATTTTCAATGTCATATTGACACACTAGAGGCTGTTCAACATAGGTTCTTGAGATACTGTGTATTTAGAACTGATAATATTATTGTTAACCATAATTATACTAATATCGAGCAACTACTAGGATTATCACCACTTTTAACATCCCCTTCATCGAACATCATATGGTAGGTAGTAACAGTATGTTACACAGATATATGTGATTGTTGAATAACTCAGATGTAGACCTATTTAACAACAGTTTGAGTCAACTTGTACATTCATAAGTTTATTGTTTCTGTATTATTGTATTTGTACTGTTATTGGGGTTATTTCGTTAATAAATAAATAAATACTTATTTACACTTTATATTGATTTTATTTGCATGAATTTTTTATTTATATATTAATAGTGTTTATCATTCTTTTTAGTTGGATAGTGCTACGTCTTTGATTCAAGCTGCTAAGAACTTGATGAATGCTGTAGTTCTCACAGTAAAAGCATCATACGTGGCATCCACCAAATACCCAAGACAAGGAACTATCGCAGTAAGTATAATGTATCAGTATAATCTAAACACAATATTACAATGCCAATTAAGAAACTGATGCAGATACCTATGGCAATATATAGTTGTCGTTGATTCTTCTTCACGTGCCGTATCAGAATTATCTGACGTTGGTGGTCGTCGCTCATGAAATAATAATGATTGCAAATCTCCTCTTTTACGTTCATTAAATGAATAAAAAGATCACTTACAATTGCAGTTTGTGTACACACTTTGTGAAAATTTCACCAAAAACAACTGTTTAACACTAGAGAGCAAAACAACTTGTATTCACACCAGCTTTTAAATCACTAAGTGTTACCTTATTATATCACATTTTGACTTGTTTGCCCTTTTGTTTTCTATTTGGGCAAAATTCATTAGATATTTGTGTTTTTTTGCTTTTGTTTAGTCATTTAGTAATTGAATGGTTGGCCGCAACAATGTTGTAAACGACAGAATTGAGATTACGCAAGAGATGAAAAAACATATAAGTTATTTATGAAAACATGTACTGAAAAAAAAAAATTTCACTTAACAATAAGATAAAGTTATAAATGTGTAAACAAATTATGCAGGTTTACACAGAGTAAACAGAAAAAAATATTTCAAAAAAATATCCCAGCAACAATGTTGTATACAGGGTGAGTCATAACTATTGGGACATAGACTAAGGACAGGTTATTTGGACCAAAATATATGTTAATAAAATGTTGCTGAGAAAAAAGATACAGGGTGTTAAAGTTAATTTTTGTTTTTCGTTTTTTTGCTAATAGTTTCCCTGTATATTTATAAATTGCTATCAAAATTGGCACAGAGGCATAATCTTAGCCAAGAAATAGTATTTTATTTACAATTTTACGTTTTGTCATAGAGGGCGCCACGTGGATCATTCCTAATGATCAAATTGAGTCTAAATTTTTCTGATGAAACTTTTTAGAAATTTTTATTAGAAAATATGACATAAACATCATTTTTACGTAAAATTGGTACTCTTGTTTAAACATGATAATTTCAACCGTTTTCGATAAAAACGCAGTCGAACTGCTTAGAGTCTTAAAAAGGATTTCAAATATTTCATTTATGAAAAGTATACTTTTGACTGTCAGATAATTGTTGTTGGTAAATGTCATTTGTTCAGAGTATTTTTAGATTTTAGATTTTTTGATTGAAATTCCTCGTCACAATCATTTTACTAATGAAGAAATGCGAGATATGATTTTCGTATACGCACAAGAAAATTTTTGCGGTCGCTCGGCAGCCAGAAGGTATGGAATGTTATACGCAAACAGAAGGCAACCAAATCACAAAACTTTTGCAAGATTATATCGTAGTTTAGGTGAAACTGGGTCATTTCACACTAAAAATCGGGGTGGTCGACCGAAACAAATCACACCTAATCAAGAAGATGAACTTTTGGTTCGAGTAGATGAAAATCCTGAAATAAGTTCACGACATCTTTCAGCAGCAACAGGAGTAAGTCAGTCGTCTATTGTTAGAATTCTAAAAAAAGAGAACATCCATCCTTATCACTTCACTCCTGTTCAAAATTTACTTCCAACAGATATTTCACGACGGTTACAGTTTTGCCAACGTATTCTGAATAAACATCACAATGACAGACTAAGAATATTATGTTCACCGACGAAGCAACTTTTACCAGACGAGGGGTTTTTAATTGGCAAAATAGTCATTATTGGGAAGAAGAAAACCCGCATGCTATTAAAGCTACACATTTTCAGCATGAGATTGGCATAGGCGGTGATTTTCAATGGCCACGAAGAAGTCCTGATTACAACCTGCTAGGTTTTTTTTTATTTTTGGGGACATATGAAGTCCTTAGTTTATGCCAATGAAATTAATACACGAGACGAACTTTGGAGATACGTTCAAAATGCAGCTAATCTTATAAGGGCATATACAAGGCTAATATTATAATCTTATAAAAAGAATTAGAAAAGGCATAGAAATCGGAGGAGACCATGTAGAACATTTAATTTGAGTTTTTGTGAGTTCTTTTAAGTTAAAGTGTGTTTAGTGTTGATTTATCGTCAAACCTTACGTTAGTTGCAACTTTGTTTATTAGTTTGGTATTTGATAGTGGAATTGCAAATAAAATACTATTTCTTGTCTAAGATTATGCCTCTGTGCCAATTTTGATAGCAATTTATAAATACACAGGGAAACTATTAGCAAAAAACGAAAAACAAAAATTAATTTTCAACACCCTCTATCTTTTTTCTCAGCAACATTTTATTAAGGCATATTTGGCCCAATAGCCATATTTTGGTCCAAATAACCTGTCCTTAGTCTATGTCCCAATAGTTATGACTCACCCTGTATACTGGATATCTAACAGTGTTGCACCTGATTACTATGCGATGTTTTGGCTTATTTAGGTTTTGAAAAACAGTATCTAATATTAATAATAAACTATAATCAATTCAAAATGTTTATTAATATGTTTTGTGTGCTAAGTACACAGTTTGATGTTCCTTAAATTTAAACTTAAAAATAATGTTCCATCTTATTCTATTTTTTCATAAAACTCTCGGTATTCGGGTTTCAGGTACTGGCACATATCGAGCAGATTTTTGCGTTTTTCTACTTTTATTTTTATACGCTCGGCATACGCATTCGGCAACGCATCAATTTGGTAGTTGAATGCTCTGATCGCTTGTGCACCCCATTTTTTATTCAAAAGTGAGTGTTTGCCAAGGTTGCATGACGTTGTGAGAAGTTCTAGCCGTTATTCTCATAGGATCATCGCTGTCGAATTTGAACTAACGGTACTCAGTGATCTTATATTTGTGATCATTCCATAAGTATACGAAAAAGGTTGCGTTTCGATTTAATTTGAGTCTCTTACCACTCCCTGACACGTGTCTTTCTAGGCCTACACGTCATCAGGATTTTGTACGAAGACTCAAACCAAATCCCACCGACTCCTCTGGCAATTACAGGAAAATAACTACCAGAGTATGCTACTAGAGACCTCTAGTGAGGAAAGATAAAGTTAATACGTCGATTGCAATTAAAGTAAACTGTATACCCAAGCTTAATCAAGCCATTCAGAGCGATGATGGGAATAATTATATTCCACTATGCACCAACAATTTACCCATATAAATTACCATCATTCTTGTACTCATTGCGTCGAGTATGGACGATAAACATACGAAGAAGGTTGCGTATCGATTTAATTTGAGTCTCTTACCACTCCCTGACACGTGTTTCTGGGTTTACCCGTCATCAGAAGGAGTTTGTAAGAAGATCAAACCAAATAAAAACGGACCGACTACTCTGGCAATTACAAGAAAATAACTACCAGAGTATGCTACTAGAGACCTCTAATGAGGAAAGATGATGTAGATAGATGAAGATGATAAGTAGTTCTCACATGCTGAAAAGTCTTTTGAAGTCTTTTGCTCCATGTAGTATACATTGAAGGGCTTGCTGGGACGTGAGTTGGTAATCACTGCCACCCAGTCGAAGGGTACATTCACCATTGCTCTTTTTTTCTTTCTCTATATGAGCGAGAAGTCACGGTCGCAAGGTAAGAAGCTGTGATCGCTAGTTAAGAACTTTTGTTCTACTTGAGTGAAATATCTATAGACAATATGAGTATAGATATTACTGTATGATTTTGTAAAGTTAGAAAATAATAGATTTTCGAGGTTAATATTCTAACCGTTGCTGATAGATAACTGGCGACCGCAGAGACAATCGCGCGCGTCTTATGCACGTATTGCGATGTTGCCTATGTGCTCTAGAGGTAGTACAAATATTACAGTATAGGTAAAAGTTTATGGTCGGTATGGTAAAATTTAACAGGATATCTAACGCAGAATAAAATCATATTTTCAGCGAATAGACAAAGATAAACAATCATATTTCCCCTTGGTCTCCCCTCCACAAATATTTTTAACACCTATTGGCCATTAGTGAGACGAATAGTTCCGATCAGAGATATTTTACATATTCTCTGGTTCCGATCCCAATATACCTAAAAAACTAGAGGTGGGTCCTCCCGTTTTTTAAATTTTTATCGGAACCGTTTTTCGTAAACTGTAACTAGTTGATTCAAATTAGCGAGTACACAAACATATTGGCTATTATCGTTTATGTGTATAAGTATTGAAGTGAAAGAAACTAACGAAGGATATAATTTATTATAACTTGAAAATAAATTAAACAATACAAATAGTACTTACATTTACATTAAATCGTACTTACATTTACATTAAATCGTACTTACATTTACATTACACGTTATTATTAAATCGCGAATCGCCTAAATTGACATTTAAAAACAAGTTTTTCTACTTTTCTTGTTAACCGTGTTCTTCTTTTATTTAAAATTAAACCAGATTTTAAACATGTGTTCACAAGGAAAAGATTTTGTTACAATACTACAATATTTTATGAATATAGTGGCTAAGTTAGGATATACATGGCGATGGTTTTTCCACCACGGTAATGGACAGTTTCCAATCTCCGTTCGAAATTTATTGTGGGTAATATATTATCAGACAAATACATGTCGACTTCTTGTATATCTCTCGATACAGTTGTATGTTTAGATGAGTCATGTCCAATTAATTCATCAAAAATACACAATGGACTTAAGTCATCTTTATCAGTTTCTTTTTCTTGACTAAACTTATTGATTTACTAAACTTATGCAAAGACTCGTTTCATCCGTTTTCTATAGGTGAAGAACCAGCTTTTAAAAAGTTTGCAGGGTGGATTCCTGGATATAAACCGCCAAGAAAAACTGTTAGATTCATTACTTCAGGAATGTTATGTCAAAACTGATTTGATAATAGATAAAATAAAAAGTCCTTTTTTCGACAATTCTGCAAAAAACATTAAAAAAAAGTACCTTATCTTCAGAGAGGCTTTTAAAGTATTAATTACAACATAACAAAGTTCCCAAACGGCCAATCCAAGACGTGGAAACTAGGTAGAACTTCCCCTATTACAGGTTTAAAAAGAATGACTGAGTTAGAAGAGGCAATCCGTTTTACTTCTCTTCTTCTTTAAGTTCCATCTTCTATCGAAGGTTGGAAATCATCATGGCTATGCCGACTCTGTTGACTGCCGCTCTAAAAAGGTCTGCACTACTGTATTCAAACCATTTCCTTAAGTTCTTAAGCCAGGATATTCTTCGACTTCCCACATTTCGCTTTTCTCGGATTTTGCCCTGCATAATAAGTTGTAATAATGCGTATTTTTGCCTCTCATCACATGTCCCAAGTACTCAAGTTTTCGTCTTTTAATAGTTAATATTATTTCTGCCTCATTTCCTATCCTTCTAGTTACTTCAATGTTTGACATTTTTTGAATCCATGATATTCGTAGGATTCTTCTGTAACACCAAAATTCAAAGGCGGCCAACTTATTCAGATGAACTTGTTTTAGTGTCCAAGCTTTCAGACCATAAAGAAGAGTAGAGAACACGTAACATCGAAGCATTCTCAGGCGTAGTCATCTGATGTTATCCATGTTCCTAAGTATTTATAGTTATTAACACTCTTAATTGCAATATCTTCAATAGTCAATTGGATATTTGTGCAGATTTTAGTCATGATCATGCATTTAGTTTTCTTTAAATTTATCTTCAGTCCGTACTCATGACAACATTCATTAAGGCGTTGCATTAGGTTCTGTAAATCATTGTTGTTATCCGTAATTATTACTGTATCGTCTGCAAAACGTAAGTTATTCAACAACTTCTCCATTGATAGATATACCTTCTATTGAGTCTGACAGCGCTTCTTAAAATACCGATCACTGTAGACATTGAAAGTAGTGGGGACAGCACGCAACCCTGGCGGACTCCCTCTCTGTATTTTGATATTTTCGGTGTACTGGCGTGTATTTCCGTTCCACATCGGTATTAAATAATACAGACTTAGACCAAATCTAAATAAAAAACACTGGATTATTTGTTCTCAGCTTTCCCAAATTTTACGGCCGTTTAAAGAAATAACAAGTACAATGAGTGACCAAAAATACTTGAAGGGTAGTTCAGTGATTGTTATGGTACGCGGCCTGCAAGAATCTTGCAAGAAAATTTTAGCAAACGGTAACCTTACATCCATAGTATCCGACGTAGTACAATTACTAAATATCGGGTTTAGCAAAAATATTTAAAGGGATAGAACAGAGTGGCATATTGTCATTATGTACATTTATGGATTCACCATTTAAAGTGCAGGGTTTTCTGATAAAAATGAAGATAAAAAAATAAAATAAAAAGTTAAGAAGCTGGTTACTTCTATAATTAACGAACAAGAAGATTCTACTATTGAAAATCAACCAGTACAAGAAAAAGAAACCAATAAAGATGACTTAAATCCATGGTGTATATTTGATCAATTAATTGGAGATGGCTCATCTACACGTACACCTGTATCGAGAGTCCATTACAACGGTGGAAAAACCATCGCCATGTATATCCTAACTTAACCCTAAATTCATACAGTATTGTAAATGTGAACACATGTTCAAAATCTGGTTTAATTTGAAATAAAAAAAGAAGACGGTTAATAAGAAGTAGGTATAGTAGAAAAACTTATGTTTTTTAATGTCAATTTAGACTATTCGCGATTTAATAATAACGTGTAATGTAAATGTAAGTACGATTTACTATTTGTATTGTTTAGTTTATTTTTCAAGTTATAATAAATATATCATTAGTTTCTTTCACTTCAATAAATATACACATAAACGATAATAGCCATTATGTTTGTTTATGTAGGTACTCTCTTACTTTAAACTACTTTTAAACAATCATAGTTACTTGTTTACAAAATTTAAATTTTTAAATTCATTCATTTTTTTTGGAATCCTGAGAAAACTAACAAATATTTTGAAAAATTTAAATGCAGAATAAAAGATTACATTATTACGAGGGCCGAAAGTCCCTTAGAATAAACAAAAAGTTTTTTGAATGAGATATTTGAAATTAAAAATCACACTAATTTTTTTTCGCCCTTATAACTTATTAAAAGTAAACATTATAGAAGTTTTCAGGGACTTTTGGCCTCGGTAGTAATGTAATTGGTTCATTCTGCGTTTAAATTTTTCAAGAATATTTATTAGTTTTATCAGGATTTGAAAAAAATGAATGCATTTAAAAAATATTAATCCGAAATTTTATGCCTACGCTCTTAACGATAAAATTACCACGACCCACTCTACTACCCGTTACTCGGTGTTCTGACCAGACGGACGACGTTGCCAAATAAATTATTGTGTATGAATATTTTTTAATGTGGTGTTATTGTATGCAGTTTATTATTTCATTTTGGGAATAAGGCACAATGTGACTTTAAAATAAGCTTATTTTAATGTTTAGATTTTTAATTCGGAAATCGTACTTAAAATACGAAACATTAATAAATTTTATTTATATAAAATGATTTCCAAAGTGGAAATCAAAATGTTATATTACACTTATTGTAAAGTAAACTGTGGCATATTCCCAATAAAAAAAAACAGTAAGCTGCCATTTAAATCAATTTCGCCCAAATTGGTTATCTTAGAACATTGTTCAAATGCAAAAAAAACAACAGGTCAAATAAATCCAATAAGTTTGGCAACGTTGAACTTCCCCTTTCCAGGCATGCATGTTTGGCGATATAAAGGGCGGACCTAATATACCTCTCTCTTTCTAAACAGCTGTTTCTCACTCCATCTCACGTAAGGTCCATACGTCCATATAATTTTTCCTACACTGTATAAACAAAATATTGAGCGTAGGTTGACAGAAAATATTTTGGTGCAAAGTTACCCTGTTCAGTGCAAAGTAACCCCGTTTTACGGTATTTGTTTTGTCATAGGTTGTCTCCAGCATAAATTACACATACATTTTATTTAAATGTATAGATTTCATTACAGCGAATGATTTGTTTTATTCTAGTCGCCAATCGTCGTTTGGAAGATGAAAGCGCCAGAGAAGAAGCCGTTAGTCAGACCAGAGAAACCAGAAGAAGTTCGTGCCAAAGTACGCAAAGGCTCACAAAAGAAAGTTCAAAATCCAATTCACGCTCTTTCTGAATTTCAAAGCCCAACCGAGTCTGTGTAAACTTTTATCCATTAATATATTAACCAGATGTTAACTATTATTTGCCTGATTATTCTGTGACATTTTGTATGTAACTAGATTCGTATTTAATATAAAGTCTGATTAGAGGCATGTTCATTTAACATTTGAACAGTACATAGTAAGTCAGTAGTTTCATCAAGTGTTAAATATAAGAATATGCCTGAGAGGTCGACAAACGATATAACCACTGGAAGTTAACAATTTCTGACTTGAAAAATAATTAGTTATTTTGTATAGCTCGTATAAAGACTAGTGTATTGCCAAATGTAAGCTCGATAATACATTATATGTATTTATAAAGTGGTTAAACTACAGTAATTATTTCTCTATAGTGTAATATTATGACTTATTATGATCTACATATATACGTTAGGGTGACCATAATTTTTCAACAAAAAAAAAGTACAATTTATAATTTTTAAGAAAATATTGCTACTCTGCTAGTACTTAGTAATTTTTCAGGTCAAAATATTTTACGAATATTTAATGAAAACAATTATAGATTCGATTTTTTTTAATATAATATACGTACATAAAAATGTATGAATAAATTCTTATAGTTAATTTCTTTCTCGACGTTTCTTCCTGAACTATCTTGTCATTTTTTTGGTACCGTTGTTCTCTTTTGGAACTTTGAATTTCCTTCAGAAGTTGTGGTTTACTCGCTTTAAGAACAGAAACCATTTCATTGCACGACAAACTTCTGAAGTTTGTGTAGCGATGCATGATGGTTTCCAGAGTAGATATTTTATACTGGATTTAGTGGGGACTCAAATAGTTATGGATATTTTGGAAAAACAACTAAATCGACGAATGGGTCACAGTCAGACAAAAACCAAAAAAACTCACTTAGACTTTTGAGATTTTTCAAAGCACTTCGTTTAGGGAGTTCTTCGAGCCATCTCGATCTTCGGTAGAAATATTTTTCGAATCTCTGTCTGGATTTTATTTTCTGATAAACGTAGGTTCGTATTAGACTAACTTCTTTCATACAGTTCGTCTGATTTCCATATCGGACTATGTTGGTTTCACAAAGACGTTACATGACGTATACAATTTCATCCAAGAAACTTGTTTTTGAGTTAACCCATCGAATGCTTTAGTTACTTAAATTTCACTCCAGTTTCTTAAATTGTTAAACTATTTCGAATAGAAATAGATTGCATACGTGATAAAGTAATCGGTTTGTTTACACTAAGGTGCAAGGTCTTTCCATATGTTCAAGTTGTGAAGTGACTTCTTATTCTCTTCTTTTGGCTTTATAAACTGGATGGTCTTTGCTGTCTGGGCTATGTCCTTCCATTCTAGATCTCTCTGTTACCCTTCTTCTCATTGTCTTAAGTTATTGTTGTAGTCGTTCTTCAAAGTCAATACAACCTATCCTTCTGGGCCTTCCTTTTTTTGCCTTCTTGGGCTTCAATTGTAACATTTTTTTGTGTTTTTGCATCGTTGTCTTGCACATGTACCACCCATGACAGTCTTTGACTTTTCACATATCTTACAATATCCATAACCTTATTTTAATCATTAATCGCGTTTCTCCTGATTTCCATGTGCCATTCTTCTTGTACGGGCAATACTTTCTGAGTTAATTTTCTTTCGAACATGTCTGAGTTGGGTTTCATCTTTTTCGTATTAACCAAGTTTCAATCCATAGGTTCATAGGGTTATCTCAGTGTTCTGTAGATAGTCATTTACTACTCTTCTTACTTAGCGTTAAAAATAATCATTTAAGCGTTTTGAAGCTTATTTATGAGTTCGAAATACTCCAAAGTGGGCTTTCGCGGTTTGCGCATATTTTGTCAACCTTTTTCAATCTAAAATCACTTTGTGGGAACAAGAGACGGCAATGTTATGCAAGCGGCACATCTATGCTTCATGATTGGGTTTTGAAGAAAAAAAAACTGTTTTTAATGTTGGAAATTATCAATCAATAAAATATATGCTTCAAGGGTTCGACTATTCCTGTATAATTTCGTTCAATGGCTGGCCTTAGGCTCATAAAATCTTGTTTTTGAAAACGACAAAATTTTTTGTTACTCCAATATCACAATAATCGCAAAACTGCTTTCTGTTTCTCCACTCTAGACTGTAAAATATATAGAAATACTTAAAAATCTTGACCGCAATTAACTCGATGTCTATGGGTAAGGGACGTCCAGTTGCACTTTTGTAAACAGGTATTAAAAATGTGAGGTTGAGCAAACAACCAAATTCCAATCACGGGTTTACCACGAGAAGCATTTAATTTGCTAGGATAGATTGTTATCTCCTTCTTCTTTCATTCATACCCAAAATTTGTATTTGTATTATCACAGACATTCGCCAATGATTCTTAGTAGTAGTAGATTATGGTAATTCTAAACAATTGACCGCTAATATTTTTTGCTCTGATGTTTCACAGGTAAGTCACGTAGTGAAGTTAAATTTTACTTGCGACACAATTTTCTCCTCAAAATATAGCCTTACCATTAACGGGCACAATTTTAATTTCTTTTTGATTCGACGAATCGATTGTGATGGATGGACGTACTTTGCTTTTTCGAGGTCATTTCGAATTGGGATGAGATTTGAGCTAAAACATTTTTTACAATCGCCTTAGTCCTTGGTTCGACTGCGCAAAATTAGGTTCAAACATGCTTTCACAATTAGTTTTGACGTGCGAGTCTGAGGATCTTGAAATTTGCAAAACTCGTTAATAGTATGGTAAGCAAAAGATCTTTCTTGCTTGCATATCAACATATTTCAGGACACTTAATTTTTTCTTTTAACAAAGGTTTCAATTTGCTGTTTCTTCGAGTTCGCACATTACCAGCAACATGCTTTTTTTCTTTTACAAAGTAGTAGTTTTGATATTATGCGACTGTTATAACATACTTTTACAAATTTGGCGAATCACCAATACTGCGGTGAAACATTTGATTTTTGTTTCATAAAAGGATCTTTGATGGACATGATGAAATTGTTTGTTTCCACACAGCACAAAATTAATATAAAAAACGAGAAAAAGACTGCCGCCTATAAGACAAAAAGGTTAATAGATATCAACAGTTGAGCGACAAGTAACAGATAAACATAAAACGTACACGAGATATTATTTCTTACTAAATAAATAACGATATAAGATCTTGCTGCGCAAATGAAAGGACTAGTGATTCTGGGAGGGAGAGGTGTATCGGTAATAAACTAATCTTGACGATGGACGCTGCGACGAGTGTCAAAGTGACTCCTGCGCCCGATCGATTGCTGTAAGCTTGGAGATTTTGATTTTCTCAAAAAGATCGGCATTCTTGAATCACTTCGAACCATAATTTATATTTCTTTTGGACAAAAGTAGGACTTAGTTTGTGTGATAAAGAAAAAGAGGAACATTTAGGAGTACTTCATAAATTTTAAAGTACCAATCAGGACAGCGTTGAAAAGAATGTAACTGGCTGTCTACTAAATAAAAAGGACTTATGGGTCACCCTATTTACGGTGACTATGGGTACGTAAATTCTAACAAGAGATGGTATTTTGTTTTGTTTCGGAAAAATTTATTTGTTCAGTATATTTTATTTCCACTGTTTCTGACCAGTGTTTACCTTGTTTGAACTATTAAAGTCATTCGTTGCATTGGAATAACATAGTTCTAACTACCTCAGGTGTCAGTTTGAGTTATGAGTGTTTAAAGTTTCTATGTTATGTATTAATTTTACTATTATCGCCACTTGTATGTTTTATATATATTTGGTTTTATAACGTCTTACGACGTTGTCCGACTCCCAAACGCCACTGTATTCTGTCTTGAGTTAGGTCTTCGTCCAGATTTCGAGCGCTAATCGCTTTCCTAACTCCCAGGTTCCAGCTCTGTGGTGGTCTTCCTCGTTTCCTCTTCTCTGGGAGTTGCCACATCATCGTTTTTTTAGGCAATCTTTCGTCCCCCATTCGGCTCACATGCCCATACCATATGAGCTGTTTTCTCTCAATATCCTCAACTATAGTGCCCTCTATACCCATTTGTTGTTTTATCACTTCATTCCGTATTCTGTCGGCTCTTGATATTCTCATCGATCTTCTAATGGCATCCATTTCCGTGGCTTCGACCTTTTTTTTTATATTTCTCGGTTATTCTCCATGTCTCAGCTCCATAAAGTAGGCTAGTTTTAACCATTGTCTCATAGATGTTCCATTTTCTTTTCTCTGATATTTCTTTACTCCATAGAACTCCGTTCAAACATGCTATAGCTCTTCGTGCTGGTACAATTCGATGTTCTATTTCTCGTTCGTCTTTTCCACTACGGTCGAAGATGACGCCCAGGTATTTATATTCGTCGCATGGATTTATTTTTTGATTGTCATCGATATCGAGTTGTTCTGCTTCAGCTCCAATTGAGAGGTATTTTGTCTTGTATGTTTTAACAATGTAAATTTAGTTTTAACAATGTAGGGGAGAGTGTCAATGAAACGGACAGTTCACTTTAATGACCCAGTACATTATTATGTTGATTTGAAATACCACAAACAATACTACATTAATATATAATCCGTTAAAAAGTTACTTCTGTAGCTATGGTTGAACAGTAAAATAATGAATTTTGTCCGTTTCGGCCCGCCGATGCCTTAAAAGGACATACGATGCTTGAGACCGACAGGGAAGCTAATATGCGTCTAATTGCTTTTGAATATTGTACATGCTTTGTGATACACAAATAAATAAGACACTTTTAAGGTAACTTTTTTTACTATGTTGCAAATATAGGTTGAAACGAAATGCTCTTAAATAAGAAAAAACAGACTTGCCATAATCGACAAATTTGTGTGATCAAAATAACAAAATTTGCCTTTTTTAATTCAATAAAATTTTAACTTGGTAACTACTTAACACTTGATAGAGTCATGAATAATATGGTATAGTCATGATATTCAGTGTACAATTATTGCAAAAGAATTAAGAATCCCTTTAAGACCACAAGTTCATTAGCCAATAGTGACAAATGAAACACTGCAGCCAATCGATTTGCTTGAGGCATAATCACCTTACAAACCGTACATAGTTCTAATTTATTTGTCTTTATTCTAATTTATTGTCTATAATCTAATTATATTATAACTCACGATAACTAATTACGAATTTATTAAAGTTCATTTATTAATTCTAATTTCATATTACAAAATAATAATTTAATGTTTCGATTACATTTAAATATCGCGGTTGCCGAGCTTCTTATGACTAACTGCCAAATTAAAAATCTTTCATTTATATACACAACTGTTGTTCATCACAGAGAATTCGGACGGACTTCTTGAATAATCTCGTATTTTGGTGAAGGCGCTCGACTCG